GTACATTTGACAGCTTTGCTGCCTTGTTTTAATTTAGTTTAATTTTTGACTAATTTTGCAGTCTTATGATAATGAGTGTGCATCCAGGACTATCTAAAATATCATTAATATTTTGTATTTATCTGTATCAGCTCCCTGTTAAGAAGTCTTGGTGAAGCCGGGGAGATAGAGCCAGAGACAGAGGGAATGCTGATACAATATGGAGTGGACTACAGTGAATTCTCAGAGCAGGTAAATGAGGGATGAACACCGACAGATAGAGCAGATTTGATATAATTATTGTAATCATTGGTGAAGCAAGTAAATAATTTTAAAAGAGAATAAATATGTTTCTATTTGAGGGGAATGGTGTCTCAGCTCTTCATCAAAAGTAAAAATGTAATCGTATCTGGTTTTGTACAACATGGACATGTACACGTGCATGTATGCTTTAGTACTTAAACACACGCATGTACACACAAACACATGCACACATGCATACAAACACACACATACACACACATTGAAACTACACACAGAGTGGAAATCAGTCATCAGAATACAGTATACAACTAACATTGAGATCATGAAAATACTGCACACAACTTGCAATGAAATTGAGTACTGTACACAATCATCTGTGACATCATCAGCAGTTTTAATGAGCATAATTTTCAGTAATATCACCAAAATAGTACACAGATTTGAACTTCATGTAGTCGCTGAGAGTTCACTCCCAGATTCAGACATCAGTTAGTTTTTGATCTCATATATGTTCGAGGTATATTAGTAAGTACATGTGGTTTTTTGTTTCTCCAGGCTTTGTCCTGTTAGCTGCAGACTCTACCCTGGTCAATACTACAGTTTAACTTAGTTACGATCTTAATATATTCGAGGCAGATTAGTTTAAGTATACATGGTTTGTTGCATCTCCAGGCTTTGTCCTGTTTGCCACAGACTCTGCCCTGGTCAATACCACAGTTAGTTATGATCATATATTCAAAGTAGATTATTTTAAGTATACATGGTTTGTTGCATCTCCAGGCTTTGTCCTGTTTGCCACAAACTCTGCCCTGGTCAATACCACAGTGTGAACTGGAGGCCAGGAGAGCCATGGACTTCAGGGAGGAGTGTGTCTTCACCATAGATCCTGCCACGGCCAGAGATCTGGATGATGCTCTGCATTGTAAACCACTGGGAGATGGTAGGTACTATAACGTTGATTATACACTACTTGCCAGAGATCTGGATGATGCTGTGTATTGTAAACCATTGGGAGATGGTAGGTACTGTAACATTGAGTATACACTTCTTGTTCTGCCATAGATCTGGATGGTGGTCTGAAAATGTTAATATCGCCTAGAGATGATGAGAGCCTTTTACTATACTTATCTCAAAAGAAGGAATTGCTGTCATGTTGCTCATTGAGTACTGGACCCCATATCTTGAAAGCATCGTGTATTGCGAATCGCTATATCAAATAGAGGCTACAATGTATTTTATGTCTCCACCATCTCAGTGTACCACAAACTTTTATAGTCTCATTCATAGCAAGAAAGAAGGTAACAAGGAATATTGTTTGTTCGTGATTTGGCCAAACCAGGCCGCTTTTATTATATAACCCCTCTATCCTAATCGTATTAACAATAATAACAATGTAGCAAATTGTTGCCTGTATTAAATGTTATGGCCTTAGGGATAAAAATTATATATCAAATATTCAATGAGACTCATCATCCTAAAAATTATGATGCGACGAGTCAGCAAAAGTTATTATTTACCAACTTTGAACTGAAGATTTCAGTTGCAGATTTGAGATAACTTGTAGCTTAATTGTATCATGCTCGTGAACAGAATGAATCAAGCAAAATGAGGCCAGGCAGTGATGCCCCATGGTATAAGTAGCAACATGTGCCTCTAAGGAGATTACCCCTCTAGGGCACAATTGAGCATGAGCAGAATGCACATGTGCTTAAATAAGCTCTCTTGAGATTGTTGTCGCCATAAAATGTCGTTTGACTACGCCAAACTTTCCTATATGGGACGAGTATGGGCAAGTTATGGAATCGAGACGCTTGCGCAAGTGCACAACATAGCGAACCTTTCGAGATTTGGGGCCCTGGTTCAAGATATTCAATAGTTTGTTTCAATTGACTCAGTTTGATATTATATATGTTTGTACAGTTGAAATGTTTTATTCTTATTATAAGATAAAACTTTTCTTCTAGGCTAAATTAAAGCTGCTGTACTTGCAGAGCTTTTGGTCACACCCAAAAACCACTGAAAGATGCAGCTTTAATTTAGTGTTGTAAATGAAAAGTTTGATCTTACAAGTGTAAAACATTTATTATCTTGATTAATAGACTACACAGATGACTTTCCATCAGAATGTATTACACTTGTGTTGCAGGTCTGTATGAAGTAGGTGTGCACATAGCAGATGTCAGCTACTTTGTCCTGGAGGGGACGGAACTGGACGTAGTGGCCAGTCAGAGGGCCACCAGTGTCTACCTGGTACAGAAGGTGAGTGCAGGGGAGAGAGGGGGGAAGGGAAGGATGGAGAAGGAGGAAGGAAGGGGGACTTAATAAGGTAGAAGGAACATAGAGAGAAGAATAAAGATTTGGAAGATATAAAGGGAATGAGATTGGGTTGAGATAGAGGCCAAGAATGAGGAAGTAGAGCAAAGATCTAGTGAACAGTTCCTCTTATTGTTTTGCAGGTAATACTTGCGTTGCCTTGTTTTCTAGGTAATGCCAGTGTTCTTGTTCTTCCAGGTAATTCCCATGTTGCCCAGGTTGCTCTGTGAGCAGCTGTGTAGTCTGAACCCAGATGAGGACAGGCTGACCTTTTCAGTGGTCTGGAAGATAACAGAGGAGGGGGAGGTAGGAGGCAATCTGGAGCCAGAATATATATAATATTATGTCTTTGATCATAACTAACCTTTGTTATTTATCCTTCTATCACATACTAGTTACAACACTAGACATCCACAGTATGCAACATACAAGAGCACTATTATATTGAGGCAAAGCTGAGATAAAATTTGCTTTTGTATGTCGCATACAGTGGATGACAAGTAGTTGTAACTGACTTTTATACCACGGCTGGCACTTTTAACAACAGGATGAACACACTGAAGCATATGAAATACAGGAAAGTCTGTATGCGAAATACAAGTGCAATCATCCTGTTGTTCGAAGTGTTAACCGTGGTATAAAATTCATTAAGAAATGGTTTTGAATATCTGATTACAGAATTGCTGAAATGTCAGTATCTACCATATACAAAGAAATAAAAAATTCAAATAATATATCATTTCTTTATTTTTCTTTTTAATTTTAGATTCTAGATGAAAAGTTTGGAAGGTCAATCATCAGGTCCTGTGTAAAGCTTAGCTATGAACATGCTCAGGTAAATATGTAAACCTTGCTTGCACTTAATAACATTAATATAACTTAGCTATGAGCATGCTTAAGTACATTCCTGCATTTTACAACATTGATAAATCTTGTATACCAGCTACCATGCCCTAATGATACCACAGTGTTAATTATTATAGCTTACACTTTGTATATCAATGCACTTAATTGAGAGCCAGAATGATTATAACTCTCCTGTAGCTAACTTTTTTAGCTGTTCATTTATCATTACCTTAGCAATATGAATTTTTTGTCAAGTTGCCAAAATCACAGTGGGGATTTCTGAAACACATTTGAAAATACATATGTATTGAGATGAAATTGAACATAAACAATGATTTAATAAAATGTCAGTGTAACTTATTTGTTATATATTTGTTTATTGAAGTTGTTTGGCCATACTCATTTAAGAAAGAACTCATATGGAAATGAATGAAACATACATATGACATATATTTTGTTCCAGGGTTTTATAGAGGAACCAGACAGGAAGTGGACCTTGGAGGAGTTTCCACCAATCAGTGAGGGTTTTACAATAGACCAGATCAAACAGAAAGTCCTGGATTTACAGAAAGTGGGTGGCTTCCAACTTTTTCCTTATTTGCCAAAAAGTTGTCCTTTGTACTTACTGCTTGAAAAGACTTTAATATAAAGAGAGAAGTTCTTTAAAAGAGAAATTCTATGACACTGATAGTCAAGTTTTGGACTCTTTTGCTACACAGGGCCTTTGCTCTGTGGGCTATTTCAGTAAAACTGCTTCTAGTTAAACATAAAAATGCACACAGTTAACAGTGAAGATTTTTATACCACATCTTTGAACCAATGCTCACATTCAGCAATGAAACATAATAAAAAAACACACTTATTATTTATGTCTGCTCCATCCCAGTGTACCACAAACTTTCATAGTCCCATTCATAACAAGAGAGAAGGCTACAAATACTATCGATTGTTCGTGATTTGGCCAAACAAGGCCGCTTTTATTATATAAACTCACTATCCTAGTCATTTTAACAATAATAACACTTTCCTTTTCATCTTTGATATCAGATGGCTGTAAATCTGAGGCGAAGGCGGTTTGACAATGGTGCCCTCCGTCTTGACCAGGTCAAGCTACAGTATGTCCTGGATAAAGAGACGGGACTGCCCTGTGGCTACTCTGTTTATCAGCAAAAAGACAGCAACAGGTGCAATACAATGCATCACATTGCAATACAATTCAATGCATAATTATACAATACAATACAATACAATGCAATACAATGCAATACAATATTATAAAATGCAACAATACAACAAAAAAAAGGCAGTGCAATACAATACAATATAAAACAAAACAATAAGACACAATACAATGAATTGCCACTATAGGAGAGTGCAACTATACATTTGTGATTTATATAGTGTAAAGACTGATACCATTTTGATAAAAGAATATGTTATAGAGTGAACTGTGGGACCAAGTTGACATTTTCTTGAAACAAGCTCTATGCTTTTAACATGATTTTCTCTCTCCAGACTGATAGAGGAGTTTATGTTGCTGGCCAACATGGCTGTAGCGCACAAGATATACGGCAGCTATCCCGAGAAGTCTCTGCTTCGACGCCATCCGCCACCACAGACAAAGATGGTGAACGATCTGGTAGGTACTTGCTCCAGTTTCATATACAAAAAGACTTAAGTCAGCTCCCAGGCATTGTTGACTAAGAATTCCATGAGAGGGCTGTAACACTGTACCTGATTGGGTAAGATGTGACCATGTAACCTTGGTAATAAAGTTCTGATTTTAGGTTATACTCTGCAGTTGACATTTTAGGTTCTGATTTTAGATTGACAGTGCTCTGCTGTAACATGGACTTTCCCATACAGAAGTAGTATCTTTAATATATGTGAAATGTCATACAAAAACACACTTTATTAATATACCATGTGTTTTAAACTTATTTCAGGCTGAGCTGTGCAGTAACATTCTCATACTGAAACGCGTTCTATAGTATAATTGAATATTATTAAAGTTTATCACTGAACATTTCTTTGAGAGATGTAATCTTTGGTATGTCCTACACACTTGGTTTATTGATATCATAAGTATTGTAAACTGAGAGGCTGTGTCTGATAATTCTTACAAGAACACAAATTATAATTTGATATTTTAGTTTTCTGTAAACTTTGATTTCAGGTGGAGCTCTGCAGTAACATGGGCATCCCCATAGATGCCAGTAGTTCGGGGGCCCTGCAGGAGTCCCTGGCAGCGTACTGTGATGATGATATCTGGTCCAAGGCCAAAGCACAGATACTCACTGTCCTCTGCTCTAAACCAATGCAGGTGGGTATGTGTTTGTGCGTGCGTGCGCGCGCGCGTGTGCACAGGGGTGCATGTGTGTGTGTTAGTGAATTAGAGTAAGAATGTGTATGTATGTGTTTGTGTGTGTGTGTGTGTCAGTAAGAGTAATTGTGTGTGTGCATGCACCACATGTGTGTGCTGTGCATACATACAACATGGCTGGGGTGGGTTGGGGGTAAGTTACATGTATAACACTAATTAAACCAGTGATCAGAAGGAAAGTTCTGTTTTGGAGGGGTGGGAGGGGGATTTGGGGGCAGAGATTTTTTTTGTGGACAGGTATGGGTAGGCACTTAATGGACATTTTGAATGGATACTGTTATAATTGTCAACATATTAACATTTCTATCTCAGTTTACTATATTTTTGACATCAAATTCTAAATGAGAGAGAGAGAGAGAGAGAGAGAGAGAGAGAGAGAGAGAGAGTAAGGCTCCGTTCACATGGAAGATCTATTTTCTAAAAATCTAAAAATCTATTTTCGGTATTTTGTGATCATGGTCTGTGCCCTGGATACCTCGGGGAGTAATTACTGGCAGCGCAGAGAATTAATTACAGCTTTGGAAGTAACTGGCCATGGGGTATTCAAGGCACAGACCGTGATCACAATATACCACAAATAGACTTTTAGATTTTTAGATAATAGATTTCTATGTGAACGGAGCCTAAGATGTTAAAGCAATAATCAATGAAATGAGTGAAACATTTCCCTTCCACCATGTGTTTCAGACTGCCCGTTATTTCTGCACTGGCTGTATTGATGATGAGGACGCATTCAGACACTATGCCCTCAGTGTTCCTCTCTACACTCACTTCACCTCCCCAATCAGGAGATATGCTGATGTCATTGTGCACAGATTGCTGGGTGCCTGTCTGGGTAAGTGTTCTATGTCGGACTGCTGGGTGACTGTCTGGGTAAGTGTTCTATGTCGGACTGCTGGGTGACTGTCTGGGTAAGTGTTCTATGTCATACTGCTTTCAGTTTGCCTCAGTATGTGTCCTATGTCAGACTGCTGGGGGCCTGTCTTGGTAAGTGTTCTTTGTCATACCACAGAGACTGCTGGGGGCCGGTTTGGGTTACTAAGTGTAATAGCAAACAAATTGCTGGGTGTTGTAGTGCAAACTGCTCCTTTAGTGTTTGATATTGTCTTAATGCTACTTACATGCCAAAGTACTATGTTAAACCAGCACCTTTTTATCACCAGAACACTATATTCCAGGTTACTGTGACCCTCCCAGGAAGTCCAAGGAGTCCATACAGAGACAGGCAGAGCACTGCAATGACAGGAAGAATGCTTCCAAACAGGTCCAGGAGCTCAGCAGTGACATGTTCTTTGCCATATTTGTCAAGGTGAGAATAGCCAGTTTATCTTAAATTGGAATTGGAAAATATGTTCTGTTTAGTGTATATTAGGTATCATTATTCCAAGGGTATTTTTCTTGTCCTCTTATGCAGCCAATGGCAAATGAGATTGAAGAAGAACGCCATTGTAAAGTGTTTTTTAGTTTTTTTAACAGGTTTCCACTGTACAGATATACTTTGTCATGTATCATTTTCTTTTTTTAGCTCAAAAGGGTTACTAAATGTCATTACCAATGGATAGGACATATCACAAGAGTGGAGTAAAAGTTGATTTAAGTGTTACCTTAATTCTCTCTCAGGAGTGTGGTCCACTAGAAGAACAAGTTATAGGATATATCTGACTTTGTCTTACTTTATGTCTTCCAGGAATGTGGCCCTCTGGAGGAACAAGAGATGAGATATATATGAATTTGTCTTACCTTACTATTTCCAGGAGTGTGGTCCACTTGAGGAACAAGGGATGGTGATGGGGGTCCTGGACAAGGGTTTTGATGTTTTGGTGCTAAAGCTGGGAGTGGTAAAGAGAGTGTACTGTGATGTGAGTACAAAAGTGGACACTTTATCTATGCTTGTCTGTAGGGGAAGATGGAAGGTGTATTCTGGTAGATAGTCAGAATTTTTGAAGTTAACATTGATGGCGATCTAATTTTTTCTGTTGGAAGATGATCAAAAATGGAGGATGGATCAAAGATAATTTGGAAGACTCAGATATTGTCTCTCGATCTGCCCTTGGTGTATGTGTATTTAGTGCTTTCCTTCACTAACTTTTTCAGTCACTTTAAATTATATGTATATAATTGTAATGTAATTCTTCTTTTGAACAGTTTCATTGCTGATGTGCAAACTGAGTACATCTTTTTATATGATAAAGAGTATTGCTTCGTGTTTCCAGAAACTTCCCCTGAGCAGTTTCTCCTACCAGAAGGTCCGTAAATGTCCTGAGCTGACCCTGGTGTGGGCCCCAGATGATGACCATCCCAGGGAGGTCACTCAGAAAGTGACCATCTTCACTCATGTCCAGTGTATTCTTAAGGCTGATGACCAGCCTCTGAAGTGGAGTGTAAGTAATTGTTTTCAGGCCTGTGGAGAGGGAGGGGGGAGGAGGTCATCTGGAATGTTGATCATGAATATAAAGTAGTTTATAAGGGGGAGGGGTGAGATGTCAATCAAAAATGCATAGGAAGTATTGGTTATTATCTAAAACGGTGGATGGATGCGTGGCCCTGGGGGGGGGTGAGGCTCATCAAGAATGGTTGTAAGTTATTTATATCTCCTAACTCTCAAAGGGGAGGGGGGGTAAGTCAGAAAGTGGGTAAGAAGAATCAATATCTCTAATATCAGACATGCTGAAACTGTCGGTCCCATCGGTCATAACCGGGAAAATTTGTCTGGGCTGGTAAAAAATTGGACTTGGTCGGTCCAAAGGACCAACAAGAGTTTTAAGAACCACAATTTTGAATTTACAGTCATCATTCGACATACTTCACTAATAAAATTATATGAAACCCAAAGCGTTTTTCCCCTCCATTTCAAACCTATCCCATTCACAAACAAAATAAGCTACCGATTTTTGGTCCGACAAAAATCCATTCGGTCCGGTAAGTTTTTCATTACTGCTGGTCCAAATGTCCGCCCATTCTGAAAAGTTTTCTGCGTGTCTTTAATATATCTTTAATTCTGTGTGGTGGGTGTCAGATCACTCAGATTTTAGATATAATGCAACTCCAAATCCTTGTGCAGGTAGTTGTGTGTTTGGTTAGTAATTCCTCAAGTATAGTACAACATGCACTGCACTGTTTGAGATACTTGTCAAATTGATATACGTAATACGTCAATTATTGCAACTGATCCCCACCGTTGCAATTGACAACTGTGATTATGTTTAAGGTTTGCATTGTTATAAATATTAAGATAAAATAGATTCATTGTTACCAGTATAAGCAAATTAAGTAGCCGAACACTCTGTGACCATACTGACGACTTTGGTATTCTCTTTCCAGGCCACAGTACATAGACCAGTGGAGACCTTATAGAAGATCCACAGCTACCATTAAGATTACATGTTCTTTTATTTCGATGTACAAGAGAGTTATGGAAAATGGCAATTCCCTAAACAGTTGAAAGATAATTTGGAAAATTTTACCAAATCTGGGAATATAAGACATTTATTGTATATTTTTGTGAGAGTTGATGTATCTTATTGACTGTGGAGAGAAGTTGGTATCTTCTGGTTCATCAATATTTCCATTCTCAGTTTTTGAATTTTATCAGTGAATGTTTCTGACACCTAAAGAGATATTAATTTTAATTGTAATGTTTTTTAATGAAAGTTTGAATTATTTAAAAGAATTTTACATTTTAGTGCTTTACCTGCGGAAATTTTTCTGTAAAATTATTACGAAATCAAATGCCTCTCATTGTAATTATTTTGTTGCTTCACAGCCAATGCTGTAATTCTTCTCTATATGAATTTTTTTTTATTAGATAAGTGGAAAAATTGAACAACTTGTTATTGAAAGCAGAGAGCCTAGCTATCTTGTTTCAATTGGTCGTCCATTGGAATGGAGAGCAGCCATATGGTAGGTTTATAAAAGGCAGCCATTTTTATCGGAATGAATGGTTGTTCGTCAGTTATAATCACTTTAAAAAATTGAGCATGTTTTTTTTTATTGCAAAAAGTAAAAATGTGAGTTTTTAAAGTTTGAAAGAAAAAAGGTGCACTGTGGCAAAGTTTTCAGCATAGTTTGCAGCAGCTCTACTGGATTTATAATTTACCTACATGTTTTGTTTTGTTACTGTAACATTTCTGTGGGAAGATGCATTTTATGTACAATTATAAGCCCCACTAGTTTAACTAAACTATCTGTATATTTTTAACATTTAATGAAAAGTATTGAAATATTCTGATAGTTAATGTGAAGAGGTGGAACAATTTGCACAGCCGAAAACAAAAATTTTAAGACTTGAGGGAACAATACTGATAATCTGTGTGTGGATTGAAGATTTTTGTCAACTTTCCTATGTTGATAACTATCAAACTGATGAATATTTATTGATGTGAATTATTGCATTAATATTGTTGTCGACTTGTAAACTGTCTTTCTGAGTGGTGTTCTCATAGAAGGGGTTACGTAAGGAAAACAATTGAGGCAGATTTCAAGTAAAAGTTAAACAGAAATAAAAAAGAATTTTTCATAATTTATTTCTCCAAGCTTGTGCTGGTTTTACAAACCAGATACTAAGATGAATGTTGCAGGTTTGACATGAATTTTTAAGTTTTTATAAACGGGCTAGAATAATTTGAAAACAATAATTGATAAACTGCGTGAAATAATGCATCATACAATGTATATAAAAATAATTTTTGACCAAAATTGCTCATACCACAATGTAACAGCTGTTCTACTCCAACATTCGAAATGAAAGACCCTCAAAATAACATCTCTTAAACTTTTATAAATCTGCATTTTTTCCAATCACCTAAAATATTCACAATCCCAATATTGTAAATGAGAACATCTGTCTGAAGAAAATGATAGAGGTTCAACAAGACACTGACATATAGTTGTGAAATTGAGATTAACCTTGAGGTTAATTAAACAAAAAATGATGTTGGATCTCGAAGAAGGTCCAACGCTTTTCTCAACTTAAACTTCCATTTTATTCTGTAGTTGATTTTCCTGTTTAAACAGTCATCTATGATTCAATTTTAAAATATCTTTGCAAAGAGGTTTCCAAAAGCTCTTCAAGTTTTTCCTGTACTTGCTGACCTTATATGCTAATTTAAGATTGATTTCGTAAAATAAGTGCGTAATGAAACATCATGTTGTAACGCATCTTAATATTTAACCTTCATTCCTTAACACCATCTCTGCAACACTTGGGTTTGCTTCAATAATATAATAATAATAACAATATGTGAACAATGCTTGTGAAAAAAATATGAACAACAACGAAACTGATGAAACAAAAACTACTTCAGGGTAATGGATACCCTTTTCAAGATTTTTGGCCCTCAAAAACTAATTTCAAGACCAAAATGTTTAAACCACAATGCTACACAACTAGTCACAAAAGGTAAGTCTCTTATCCTATAAAATATGAAAATTACAAATTCTGCCTTATGTGAACCCATTCTCAAAGAGAATTAAGTCAGAAATTCCAAGCCTTACTTGATATTTAATATTTTTAATGGGATAGAAAAATTATGCACCCAATGTTGTAAACAACATTTCATTGAATAAAATTCACAACACTACATGGAGTCTGGGATATGAGATTAACTTAAACACACTACTTGGGATTTCAGCCTTCTAAGTACGATTTGTACTTCACAACAAATCTTGTGTGAAATTATGAATACATACCAGTATTTACATTCTTACAATAATATTATGTAATGTACTAAAGACTACAAAAATTACAAAATAGTTTTTTAAAATATATAAGTGAATATTTAGTTTTATGGTAAGATTTCTGTCATAAAAATGAGAAATTATTCCTTTCCTTAAAGGTACATACGAACCAAGCATCGGTGGAGCGTGGATTCCCAATAACACATGTAAACCACTTCTACTAGTTTCTTATACAACTCTAATAAATTTGACATGCCAAGGGATAAACTGAATAAATCACCCGATCAGCCATAAAAGAGCTTTAGAGTGCTCTTTTCTTTAAATTTGTGGTTGTCAATTTAACCTACTTTCGTGACCTACAGTACTTTTCTGCCCCATTGACATACAGCATAGAAGGCTAGGAGAAAAATCTGTTCAGACATCACTTTCGGGTAAAATTAAACAATGCCTTTTGGTAATTCTCTTAGTTATACTACTTGAAACCATATGCTGGAATTTGGTTGGTTTTTATGACAAAAAATTGACTTTGTATGTATCTTTAAATTGTCTCAAAGGACCAACTTTATGAACCGGATTATTAAGTAAAAATTGACCTAATGTCATTGATATAATAGCTACTACTTGAATGGAAAATAAGATGCTTTGAGGTAGTAAGTATCCCTATGTACTGTTACTTTAAAAGTCCACTAGTCCTTAAATGTAGCAATCATGCAGAATTATGAAAATTATTTTAAAAAAAACTGTATGCTCCTTCCTACCAATACTGCACAGAGTTCTAGCTATTTAGGATTTTTCACTTATGATAAACCTGAAAATCCCATTTTCTGACAAAAATTGTCACTTTTTTAATATTTCATTAACACGTTTCCATATTGCTTCAGGAAAGTATGACCATTCAGTCTATACCAAAATTAAATGAAATTCTAGACTGTCTTGTCCGAAAATTGAGCCATGTGTTCAGAAGGCTCTCTCACAGAATTTCGGTTGGTGATCACTCAGTTTCCATATCTTCCTCTTCTCTTGGTGATTCAATGTTAAAATGTTCTAATATTGGCCAAATGGGTGACACTAAGGCTGAGAAATAGGAGGTCCTGGCCACCACCATTCCCATTATATAGGGTTTTCCATTCTTTAAATAGAACACTGCAGCACCAGAGTCTCCACAGTCAGCAAACATGGCACTGCTGCTGGTTCTAGGTGCACATACCTCTACCATGGATGAAAGGGTGTCTTGAAATGTCCAACCCACATCACTACAGTACTCCACAGTGCAAGGCTGGTAAGCAGCCCCACCTACAAAAGTGGCAATCCCTTTTGTGAGACCAGTCGTCCTACCACATTTGAACAAAACATGAGTGCTTAAATCTTCACTACATTCAATATACGCCTCCCTAGTAAAGGTTAATTTATTTTCTGTAATCTTAAGATCTCGCAATCTTTGAGGATCTAATCCTGCTGGAATCCCATAGGTCCCTCTATCCTTGACTGTGATAAGAGCTGCATCAATTCCATATTGTCCACCTTTAATATCAACATTCCTAAATACCCGTTCTTTGACAACACCACAAATTCTAGCTCTGCTTGAACTGTCTACAGTCTCACTCACTAGCCGGTTGTGGTGGTTTGCTTCTTGATCTGCATCAGAAGGTTGACAGACTTCAGTATCTATGGCAGGTGGTGGGATGCCTAACACGTGGGAGCATGTGAGGAAACATGTTGACCCCCCATGTTCTACAAACATTCCTAACGTCCCTGTCAAGTTCAAACCTCTCCGTCCAATACTGCATCCCATCCTCAATGGGTCACTGTAAAAAGTAGCACTTTGACCTAAGTGCACAGCTGGATTTTGTGACTGACCGTTGTTCATGGACAACAAAACATAACCTTCACGTACATCTACAGGAAAACCTTCAATTGACTCTGGAAATAGTGACTCGCCAAGTGGTACCACACCTTTTGTGTGACAATACAATACTATACATGGCATGCATGATATTTTACCTCCTGTCACTTTAACAGGAGATGCTGAAATAATTGTTAGGTTTCTATGATTGGCAAAGAGACCTTGTGAAACTCTTTGTATGACTTGTCCAAATTCAGTAGACTTTTCAGGTGGAATTGGATTCTCTTCAGCTTCTTGGGAGAAAATGGCTATCTGTGCTTCCATATCTGGCATGTCCCAGGAGTAGTAATTGACAGTGAATCCCTCATATTCTGTGACTTTATTTCCACAAAATTCAATGCTCACTAGCACTGCAATAAACGGTGGGTAATGCTCATTTGCTTTGCATGCTGGGAAGACAGTTACAATACCAGGTTCACGTGGAAATCCCTTACATGCTGTTTCAATGGCATCTGCAAAAACAATGGAAGGTTTAATATATGAGATGACGATAACATGTAAACAATCTGTTCTATCCATTAAACTAGCCACTATAGCAGAGAATTATCCGCTATGGATTATGTCCAAATACCAAAAAAGGGGTAGTTGCATCATCTGAAATTCGAGCTTATTTCCATCGACATAACACCCGTGAAAAAGTTTCAATCACCTACAAATGGAATTTTCGTGCTGAGCCAGGATAGAAGTTTCAGAAAGGAGGGAGGGAAAACTTTTTTGGTAAAACTGCAAATTTGATTACTTCAAACCATTTGAAACTAAAAGAATTAAGAATATATATTATAGTTATGGAACAGGTAACTGTAGTGTGACTTGTCTATTATTACCTTTTTTCATTTTTTTAAATAATAGTTAATGTAGAAATAAGGATGTCACTATAAAATTAATATAAAAGTCTACATATTGATTAAACAGTAAACTCAAGTCAACTGTATTTTTATTATTTATTTAAAGACGTTAACTAAATTAAATATTTTTAAAAAGCACAATTCTGTTTGCTAAGAGCAATGTGACAACTTCAATGTTCTTGATTTTTGATTTTGATTGTGCTTATTTGAAATTTCATGAACTTAATTTAAATATTTCACTTTTAAATATTTATCAATAATATATTAGCTTTTACAAACCTTTTCAACCAACACTGAAGTCATATACAGAGGACAAACAATTTAAGGCTGTTTTTGAAATTCATTTTAAAAGTGTTTATAGCTTTATGTTCTGATAATTTTATTTACCTCCAGCATCACTTGATGATCTCACAGCAGATGGAGAAGCACCATGCACCTATTTAAAAGAACAAACTGGAGTAATCGGAGAGCTACATTATTAATTTATTTACAAAACATATGTAAAAAGATATATTTAACATTCATGTTTAACTTATGACTGAGGAGATTATAACCAAAGGGCATTTTCGTAACCCCTGAAAGCCACTTAATTTTTATTTTCTGGGATGCATGAAATATTCATATTATGTTGCATGATCCGTGACACACCCCATTCTCATGACTTGTGAAAGCGGTATTTATTTTACTGTTATTTGTGAATTGCAACTGATGATTTTATTTCTCCTAAACTGGGATAACTCCCCCCCCCCCCCCCCCTCAATGGAACCCTCACTGCTGCACATGTTCATTTCAAAACTTACCTTCTCACTAGAGCTTGGCATAAACCATAGTCTGTACACTGAATCCTCTGGTAACCCGGATGCTGTGAGATCAGTCTCCTTCGGATCTATTGCCATTAGCTTCTTTGGATTTCTCGGATCTCTGACACACCATTCAAGCTGCAAATGTGGGCAGATAGATTTCATAAGCTCTTGAAGTACGGTTACAACATGGCCCTTAAACTTATCATATGCCCCTTGGATTGTTGCGTCAAACTTAGCTCCTGGGGGATATAAGGGAATAAGTTCAATGCAAGAGGAATCTATTGACTTTCTCAATGCACAGCGCGCACCTCTCAGTGGATCGATTGCAAATACAGCATAATCATAGTACAGCTCATTTTTGAAGAGAAAAAAGTCACGTCTTCTTCGTAAAACTTTCCTACCAGTTGATGTGCTATTTTGGACTAATTTCACTGTGAGCCGGTTAAATAGCACATGTGGCATAAAGTTATCTTTTCCTTGTATGAATAGTGTGTCTTCACTACCAACCACAGATGCTGGGTTCTTGTATATCGGGAGTAAGGTGGGCACATAGAACTGTCGACAAGTAGGCTCTTCTGTTGTACTGAGGTTCTGTTCTAACAGAATGTTGAATTTTACCATTGCACTGATTAATATGGGCTTCAACTCACTGTCATCTCCCCATAGCTCATCCAAAAGTCTTTCATCTAGGATGCCCCTCTTTAATGCAAACCAATACAGAGACCCTTTGGTTTTGACATGGTGTTTATCAACCGTAATAATAGACTTGAATGTGTCTATCAGCCACCATGGATTCAAAATGACAATGTCTGAGAGATCAACTGTCTGAGAGTGCAACAGATCTCCAAATCTCTGAGGGTGCAACAGATCTCCAATGTCATGATGGAACAGGAGGAATGAATTCAGCTCATTTTCATCCTGCATTCCACCTTCAAGAGCTAACTTTTTCAGCTCCCCATACTGAATCAACTTTTTTTTTCGTTTCTCAGGTGGTTGACGAAGCTCGAGCTCATCTTCTAATCTACTCCATCTTATTGGGTTCTTCTCTCCCCAAGATTTTTGGCTTTCAGCAATTTTCATAACATATCGACGAAGATCAGTTATTTCATGATCTTCATCCTGACATGTGTTGTCAATTGCAAAAAAACATGGATCAACATGCACACCACTCCTCTTCTGTTGTATATGCTGCCGCAATGTAGAAAAGTATGCATTTATTTTTTCTTCATGCTGTAAGAGAATGGGAGAAATATATAATACCTAGGTGTTAAATAGTTCAGGTCGCAATTATGTATTTTATCAGCCAGTTAATTGCCATGATGGATTTTGACAGAATACTTCATTTTTCCAATATTGATGCCTACCCTTTCTTTGGGAACATTTTCAAGGTATTTGTCTTTATGTGTGCAAACGATGATTATTCGGGGGGATGATACTCCATCTTCACTTTTGTCTTGCTGTGATGCATAAGTATGGATTGTGTCAATCCAATAAACAGTATAATCTGAAATATATCACACATAATACAAAGTTAACTATCAGTTACAGAGCCCTTAAAATTGACTTTTCATATATACCTAGGTTGGCCATGAGCTAACGGTATGAAAGTTTTTTGGCTTATGTATGATAACTTCCATTTATGACTTGTTCAACTGGTTGTATATCATGTTTACTAGCTGATACATGTGAGCTAGTGACTTCCTTACCAAGAACAGTTCCAGAGAATTGTTCAGCACTATGCCATTGGTCTTCTAGCCTGTCTGTTAAATCAAGGCTCATATCAATGGCAAGAATGTAAATAGCTCTGGAAGAAAGGAAGGTGTGGTGGGTGTTGTAATACACACTTTGACCTCCAAAATCCCAGACTGTTAGACGAGCTGGTGGATTCTCTATGTCGTATGCGTTTTCTGTCAAATGTGTAAAGACATCAGATGGGAGCTCCTTATTCTCCTCTGTTTTTAAATTGGAACTATTAGGGCTGGACTGAGTTTCTAAAAAAATCATATCTCAGTATTAAAAAGAAATAAAGGCAAATCAAATCATTTAGTTGTATTGTATACAGTATAAAATTTTAAAGCTACAGTGTTTTAAATGCAATAAAATGATATGATAAGCACACAAACCCAATAAAGAGGTGCATTTCACATGCTTAAGTATAAATAATAAATAAAATGAATACAAATATTCAATTTTTATTAACACGTGTATAGAACAAAAATCCAAGACTGTCTCAATTTTACATCTACAGGGTATATACATGTAATTTTTATCATTTCTATACCATTACGTAAGAAGTCTAATTGATAATGTTTGTTTGGTGAGATATAATTTATATTTTTTGTAACTTGTTCCAATATAGTGATTCAGTCATGGTCAATTATATCTGATGTAATGACTTTTGTATAATTATAAATATTCAAACTGTAAATCAGGGGGCTTTTTGTCATGGCTATAATGTAGTTTTAAACGTACATGGTATGATGCCCAGAAAAATATCCTAAAAAGTTTTCTTGTCCAAGCACTTGGTGCAATAAGTACTTGGGTTATTTGTTATGGAATGAAACAATTATGTGGTATTTTCAAGTGTAGTTTGACATTTCAGACATAATTTTTGCACCACAAATAAAAAATAGTTCATTTACAGTACAACTGTAATGTCCTTAGTAGTTATTATTTCTCTCTGACAGATTTTTCTTAAATTTTTACATGTATAGTTAAACCTTTTGCACCAATATCAAGATTAAAAATGTATAGGTTTGTTGCTATGTGATTTGAATTTTAGTTTCAATTACTATTGAGCCATATGGGGAATTTTAGTACTTTAACATATACTATCTTTTTTTTTTCACAGTGTGTTTATAATCAAACTCTCCTGCACATACTCTTCAGTATCCATGGCAGACATAGATAAGGAAAACATGTATCCATGTAAATTTGAATTTGTTGCTTTGGCAATTTGTTTTAAGATAAAACTGATTGTTTTTTCACATTTTTTTGCTACATTTTCAAAGTCTTCTTTGCAGGCAAAGATTTACCACACAGTATATAGCAAAGCCAGAGATAGTCAGAAAGTGATGGGTTACCACCTAAATTTTGTTGTTACGGCAACTTCTTTTTGGGTAAAACTGATTTTTTCTTGCTACATTTTTAAAGATAATTCTGGAAGCAAAGCATTCTCAGTAACTTATCTTGCCCTACTAAGCAATCAGTATATAGTTAGGGCAGAGATAGTCTGCTTTTTTCTTTTTATAACAATCAGTGGCTAACAAACTAAGTCAAGCAAAAAAATACCTATAATTACTTGATCTTTACAGAAGAATATCATGTTTTTTTATTATTTTTTTATTTTTTTTTTACAACATTAAACTTGTAAGAAGTAAATTAAAAAGAAAACTAGCAGTGATCATATTTTCAAAGTGAGTAAAAGGATTTGACAGCTGGAAGTTTTCCCTTTGGGAAAGTAACATATATGTTCCTTTTTGGGGTTAGATGATGAATTATTTTATATTCCTCATGTTTCCAGGACACTGAAACTATGAAACAAACTTCTGTATCTGGGACTTTTAAATAGTCAATACAGTTTCTAATCTGTGTATTAAATATATATTTACATTTGCACCTCTATATTGGGTTGGGTGTAGGGTGGGGAAAACATGTACATGTATAGGATAAGACTGTTACTAATAACCAGCATTAATCATTTTAATTGTTTTATTCACCCCAGCTTTTTGTATCTAATATATGATTATTTGTAATTCTGATAATTTTATTTTAATCAGCAGTGAGACAGAAGTGTAGTGAGTTTTTTAAGAAATAAAAAAAATATTTTTAAAACACTTTGCCACTTAATAATATTTTAAACATTATGCAGTGCATCAAGATACAAAGTAGAAAATTGCTTAGTGAAATGTCTCAGTTGTATTGTAAATTTAAAGAGGGAGAAGGGGAACCATTGACGCTGAGGAAGGGAGAGGGGTACCAGGTTCACAAGGGTTTGCTACTGTATGGTGATAATAGATAATAAAGTACAAAAATATTTACAACACATTTCTCAGATGTAAAAAACCAGACATACCCAACCCCTTCACTTGTGATGCATGCACCACAGTTTGTCCCTCTGCTTGTAAGGTGTTCTCATCCTCTAGAGTGAGATGGGATAGGCTTGGAGCAACTTGCCATAAAAAAAAAGAAAAAGAGTTATCTAAAGCCTAAATTACATATAAAACGCAACCCTTTCTTTTGCCTTCTTGGACAGCACATGCATCTTTATGCATAATCCTTGTAAACTTTTAAAATTACGAAGCATGTCAGATACATGCAATCTTACTCTTATATACTGCATTTTTAATATATATGATACAGATTTTTTTCTTCATATTTACAAAATGCTTGATTTTCAAACATAGTCATATTTTCATATACCTGTTATCATTTCTTCTTGATTAACATCAGACTGCTTTTCTGAAGGCTTGGATGAAGCTTGTCAAAAAAGTACACAGAGACTTAAAAGGTAAAAAAGTAACTTATCTGTGTGGTAGAGCATTGCTACAACAAGGTAAGACAAATATGGATAAAACAAAGATTCAGCAATTATTTTTGTCAGTATTAGCAATTAGATGGATCACATTTTACCATTCTTACTAAAAGAAGGTAGTGGAGTATTATTAAAAAACAAAAAATTAATAAATAAATGAAAAAATAAATAAAGGATAACTAGACAACACAGCTGGCAAATATACAGACACCATACAGGAGACAAGGCAGCAAAGCTGTCAAATGTTCAGATATCATGCAGAAAAAAGTGCACAAAATATTTTGGTTAATTCTGGTGCACTGTGACATGCTTTAAAACAGCATAATCACTCTTACCATCTTACATCATGTACTACAGGTAACATGGACATTGAACATTAAGCAAGTGATTCAGTTCCATGGGTTATAATAGCCACATAAAATGCTCATGTGTTAAAAAAAATTCATAAAGAAAAAACAGAATATTTACCCTAAATTTAAACTGGTCATGCCAATTTTCCAAAGCAACCTACCGCTATACACAACAAAGCCACTCACTTAATTTTAAGTAAAACAAAAATATGATTTGGAAGTTATGGGTCAAACGACACCAAAATTGTGCAAAAAGAAGAATAACTACCATAAATGTAAACCGATCATGACAGTTTTCAAAAGCAACCTGCGTTTTGACCGAACAAAGCAATTCAGTAAAAAAAAATTGGTTTGGCAGTCATGAGCAAACATCATGTGGCAGACATCAACAGCCATGGCAACAGCAACAGCCAAGGTGAAGAGGCAGACAGACAGACCAATTAAATATAAAAATATAATGGAAACATTATCCACAAACATAATATTCTTTGAAAGTGGCAATGTCGTTGAGAATCCTCCTATCACATTGTTACAGAGAACTCCAAGATTTCATTATTGTTCGATCGCATATTCTTTTTGGGAACCAAAGCTTAAACACATGGCTGAACACTGACAGACTTATGGTTTGATTTATCATTTGAACTATTCTGACTTTGTTTTTTTCTTCCTATTTTCTTTCTTTTCTTATCTTTTCTTCTTTTTGTTTCCTTCTTTTTGTTTATCACGTGTATAGGAACTTCTGACTTAAGCTCACTCAAATTCCTGAAATTAGTATACTACATCTCTGTGCATTAGTGTATAAGTGTACTGCATCTTTTGAGTGTCACAAAACTTCTGTTTGTACACCAGTTGCCTTCACAAGTCGACCCAAGGGTTGTAACATTTCTGTGGACTCTGCAGTCATTTATTTGAAAATTCAAATTATTAATGAAAATTATAAGAGCATACATTCTAAAAGCAGTTTTTGTTTTTTATAATTGTTTTCTTGTTTCACATTAGCAAATGTTTCTGCAGTTATAATATCAAGACACTTTTAAATACGAGTAATATTTCTAGTAGTCAGTTGTACACGCAAAGGAATTACCTGCATGACTTCCCCGGATTTCCTCATGTATCTTTCTTGTATTTTCAGCAAGCAAACATGATATTGCTGGCCCATGACACTCTATATATAAAAACATCATTTCACTGTTTGTCTTGAAATATCTAGTTTCTGTTCCAAAGCCCCAGATATTTTATTTACTGAAGTAATTAACACATGATAAACAGTGAGAAATTTTAATAAATAAATTTTAAAAGACAATTATGTTTCTTGACAAACAAATGTGATAAATGGATTTCAATAGTAAAACAATTTTCTCTCTGGGTAACTGCCGTTATTCTTACCAGCTTCATCTGAATTCCAACCCTCCTTCACAAGAACGTAGTCAGTTTCTATTCCATTAGTTATTCGATCTTTATCTTCATCATATTTCTTCCCCAGAAGCCGCTTTCTCAGGTGTGTTTTACCTGCACCAGAATGGCCCAGCAGCATCACCCTGGCCCTCTTCACTCTTTCAAAGCCATCCATAAGTGCTCGTTGATATGCTTCTTGCAGTAGTGGGTCTTGTCTATTTATTTCCTCTGGAAACTGACCTACAAATTCAAGCAAGTCAGTTTTAGTAAAATATACCATAATAGTAAATAATAAATAAACAATAAGTAAGCATATTAGAATTAACAAAAACACTAACTGTAGTAAGAAATGAATGTACTGGTTCATACCATTTAGTGTAGCACACATGAAAAGACGTTATATAAGATAAACTACATCAAATATTTGAAAAAGTTGCTTCAGCATTAGTTTAATAATAATAATAATAATAATAA